TCCTCCACCTTAATTACTTAACCTTCTCCACCTGCATCTCGTTAACCTCTAATATTTCTCCACTCTGTTCTGTTGTTCCTGCAGAGATAACGCAGCTCTTTAAAGGCTCCACAAATTAAATCAACATGAACAGAAAGCTCCGAATTAGCAAGAATATTTGTAAGTATAATTTTTTTTTTTTGCACCAACTTTTAAGAGTGTCACTTCATGATTTATGACTGTAACTCTGTTAGTGACCAGCAGGGACTGTGTTGGCAGTTTGGAAGCCAGACGCTTCAGCATCTGGCCAAATAATCTTTTATTGGCAGCAAATATATTCTGGAGCACAGTCGCTGTACATTATAGTCATTTTGTGCCAGGAGACGGTAAAACCTGCTTGCTTACTAACACGTGAAGTCGCAAAGGCAAGCTGCTGATCCTATAGAGGTATAAAACTGATGGAGGGCAAATAAAGAAGGTTGTTCATTTCGGGCACTTCAATGGTGAGCTGTCTAGAATAAAACCTGAAACAAGGGCCCATCTGTTCCCTGTGTTTACAGTTCAACAACATTCTCTTCCCTCCAAGCATGTGTCAATCGTCATCAGGACGAGCAGAGCTGTCTGTGTGTCATTAATCAGGTCTGGATTAAATCAGGAGCCAGTTTGCAGCACGGCCTCCCTCACTGTCATTTTAATTGTTCCATCATGTTCAGCGTTGGACGACCATCTGCTGCTGACTCCACGTCTCACTTTTTGATAAGACGTACGATCATTTAACGGAAACTCAAACTTGTGCATTAAAATAATGTAAGGCAGATTCCTATCATGCCCTGGGAGCCCAGTGATGGGGCTGTTATTGAAGATGGCCATGATCCCCCCATACTCTCCTCCTGGATGGATACGAGCCTGCAGCTCTGCTGCTGCTGCTGTGCTGCTTCATTAGCCATCATGATACCAGGCAGAGGAGAAGTGAGGCTGGTGACTGTTGAACAGAGAGTTGTTATGTTGCTTCAGAGTCCGTTTGTCACTCGCTGCTGCACCGAGTGTCGCCGTCAGCAGGACCCTAGGCTGCGGTCGCATCTGCTCTCTGCAGGTGGAAGCAGCTCTGATGATAAACTCACTAAGTTGCTAAGTGCGGATTCAAGAGCTAAACCTGACTTAGGGGTCTGAACTCTGCAGCTTTTACAGAGATGCAGTAAATGTTGGAATGTGCCTTTTTGAATATATCAGTTATTTGGACATATGAGCAGTAAATCTCAATTTCTCCAACCGTTCATATTACAAATCCTGAATTAACTGCATAAAGCAAAAGCCATATCTGACTTATGAACTGAAATAAAAACTCTGCGGGTCAAATTAATGAAATATTTTCTACTGCCCCCTGTGGGTCACACTTGTCTGTGGACATCACTGTCCAACCGAATGAAACTCATCAATGATTCTCTCTCTAAAGTGATTTTTCCTTCACTTTGAAATCCAGGCAGGAGAACTTCTGAGGAACATTATAAAACCTGACACATTTTTTTTTAACTCGGTCAAAAGCACGAACACCTCTGGGGCCCCCGACCCTCCGTGTGATGTGACCAGCCAGGTTAACTACTGACTAGGTGTCTGTGGGTGTCCAGAGCCTGAGGCAAGAGATAAAGACTTTATATGTGCAGAGCAAGAGATCAGAGCTGAGGCACAGGAACGACTGTGTGGTGACAGTAAGAGATGACGGTACGGCGGAGCAGTGATGGACAACGTTAATGATAGAGTCCTCATGTCTACTGTATGTATTATTGTTGCTGTTGTTTACTGTGCTGGACACAAACGCCACAGATACAAAATATGAGCTAACGATCATCACTGAAGAATTGTCAAGTTATTACTTTATTTACTTAAGTTCTAAACATTTTCAGGTGCTGGTGCTCCTGTATCTGTTGTTATTGTTATTTTGAGTGTGGCTGCCACCTAGTGACTGGACGCTTGTTTATTGTTCAAGCATTACAACAGCGCCTCACTTCTGTTCCTTCGGAAGCTAGTCATCGCCCAACCCGCCTCGCCCCTCTCGACATCTCACCACGCCCCCCCGCGTACCCACTAATTGAACAAGCTAAATTCTCACAGTACCTGCTGCCTTTCATCTTAGACAAAGACACATTAAATCAGGAACAGAACAGTTCAACAGTTCAGATAGTGTGCACAGTGCCTGATGACAAACAGTGACGGTGGAACACGGCGGTGATTCTGCTTAAACTCAAGACCATTTTATTCTATTATTTTTTTACCTACACATGAGAAGGCATCAGCAGCAGCAGCAGCAGCTCCAACTCTTCCTCCTGCCCTCTAACTAATGTGCTGAGCTCTTACACAGTCACACAGCCAGTCGCAGTGGGCAGCTGGAGGACACATGGTAAATATGTGGGAGAACTCAAGTACTCCGAGAAAACAGACAGTCATTACATCAGAGAAAATGTGAGATTAGATGGGTGGACAAACTTCTCCAATCTGGTCCTCAAGGCTTTTCTTGTGTTTGCTGAAACCTTTTGTCTCTACAGGTTTTATTTACCTTCCATTACAAACGGGAAGATGCATATGCTTTATCTGCTGCCGCCGCTCCACCCTTGGTGTTACACGTGTAGATCAGCTGTGTTCTACGTTTGGATACCACTTGAATCATACATAGCAAGCACTTCTTGGAGAGGATTCCTGGCCAGAGGGCTGCGGATCTTCAGCCCTCAGACACAGCTGCAGGTGTGATGTAGTTGGGGACCTTGTCGCCGAGGACCAGGTTGGTGAGCTTGTCCCTCACTTTTCCCTTGGACCACTCTTGGCTTTACCCCCAGACTTGTTGACTCCTTCTTGGACTTCCCAGTGTCCTTCTTCTTGTCGAGTGCATCCTGTCTTTTGGCAATTCTCTGTCAATGAAGTCCAAGAGAGAAACCAGTGTTGTCTTTTGGTTAGTATTTATTCAAAGCTTTGGGGTACAAGTCCTACAGAGAGGACAGGCTGTCTGCATGAGAGTACCAAAGAGTACAGAGGAAAGCAGGCTTTTTATCCGTCAGGGCTCAGCATGATCTGTGCGTGCCGCGCCAATCGCAACCAATCAGTGCTCAAGGCCAAAGCAGTGAGTTCCTGAGAGTCAAAACACAATACATCTGTGTTACATCAATACATCATCATACATCAAGGACAGCATATTCAGAAAACTCCCTGATGCCATTTAGGTAATTTTTTAAAATCTATTTTCAAATGTTTTTTTTTCAAGCATTGAAGTGCTTTGGTTGTTTGTTCAAGAATGGGAACAAAAAGAATTAGAAACAAAAAATATACTTTTTGAAATATCTGTGTTTTGTTTTGAACATTGATCACTGACGTGGTCCTCCACTGAAGTGTCGAGGGCAGCAGTGACCCCTTGACTCATTTTTGATTCGGAGACTTAAGAATATCAGCCATATTATGGCTAATGTGAACGTGGAAGTCGTACCGCAACATTGCAGAAAATGAGGTGGACGCTAAAAAAAGTTGACTAGTGATGACTACTTTCCATTACTCGAAAATGAAGCCAGACATATCAGGACACCATAAAGAAAAGTGTGCTGAGATTGAGCAGTGCGTTTGTGGCTAATGTTGTTCTCCCGTGCTGTCCTCTGTGTAGTGATGTAGAACCACTGCCTCTCTACTTCTAAATCTCCGTGGAGTGCAGACAAGCTGTGTCTCGCCTCATTACACTGTGTTTGAGGACCACAGTCTGCCAAGTCACATCTTCCTGGAGGATGTCTCAGTTGTCCTGCACAGACCACTGAGTCACCGAGATGTACACTGTCCAGGCTGAAAGGAGTGAGTGGAAGAAGTTTTAGACAGATATCTAAGAAACAAATTAACAAAAATACAAGAAATCAGTTCACGCATAGACGCATAGATAGATAGATGGATATTGATTAACACTCTCAGAGTTTTCAGTGTGCGCAATTAAACTTGTGGATACAGAAGCGCGTTGGTTCTTCTTCTTCTTCAAGACGAGCAGGTTTCTCTTTTCGTCGAAGATCCCACACAGACAGAATCCCGAACAGAGAGAAAGAATTTGGGGGCTGACTCCTTAATTAAAGGTTGCGGAGGTCATTGATCGTGAAGTAGGTGGGCTTTTCTGGAAACAATGGAATTATGGCAGTTGTATACCTAAAGGGAACTGTGGATGTCCCTACTATAATTAAAAAAAATAGAAGAAGAAAACAAATCAAAATAAGTGTAAATATATGATGATTGATGATGATGATGATGATGATGATCTATACTGATAATCAGGGGATTGTATGCAGAATGCTGGTGCCAGAAACTCCTACAGTGGTTTGTACAGATAAATAAATAAATAATACCACGTGCTCAATAGCACTATATCGGAATCAGAAATTAAGTGTTTGGACAATATTCGCATATCGGATATTGGCAAAAAGTTAATAATGAACATCCCTAATTAAAAAAAACTATATTTTATTACGGGCTGTCAGGATTTCGGGAGGCTGTGATGCACAGGGATGCTGTGGATTGATAATGATGAATTGTGTTTGTGATGAAGCATGAAAAAAATATAAAAAATTTATATATATATATATATATTTACCTGTATATTGCTGGAGCAGAAAAATAACAGCAGGGAGATGTTTGTGTTTTACACCTTTATTTGAGACTAATCCATATTATAGAATTATTCATAAACACATACACATATGTCACATAATATATAAACACATTAACACACACAGTTATATAAATAATATATATAAATAATATAGCTATAATATATCAGCATAGATTATAAGCGTTATATCATAGAAGACTGTAGCCATTATAAAGGGACATTTCTGATTTTCTAACCACAGACTGTTTGTTTTCAGAAAATTAAAAATGTCTTAATTGTACTGCTCCCTCAATTTGAGTTCAGTCACTTCCTGACAGTGAAGTCTTCAGTTTGCAGGGACCGAGGCCAACACTCATAAAACAAGTGATTTGTTTTATGTAAAGCAGCCTGGCTTGAATGTCAGCAGATGACTCACCAACACGCTCTAGTGTCAGACGGCCATAATTTTTACATCATTACTTAATGGAGCTCAACATGCAACTACACCTACAGTATAATACGTATATATCAGTAGTGACCAAACAGACATGACTTGCATTTAACCACCACATTTATACCACATATATATATATATATATATATATACACACATATACTGACATATACGTACATGTTTGTATGTATGTGTGTATATACTGTATTTATACAAACATATGTTGTATATTATATATATATATGTATATATATATACTGTATATAAGTTTATAGAAAATATATTGTATACTAGCCAAATACAGTGGCCTGTGGCCAAATATATAGAAAGTAAGAAAGGTTAACATTAGCTAAAACAGAGCAATAAAAAGCTGCAGAGTTCAGACCCCTAAGTCAGGTTTAGCTCTTGAATCCGCACTTAGCAACTTAGTGAGTTTATCATCAGAGCTGCTTCCACCTGCAGAGAGCAGATGCGACCGCAGCCTAGGGTCCTGCTGGCGGCGACACTCGGTGCAGCAGCGAGTGACAAACGGACTCTGAAGCAACATAACAACTCTCTGTTCAACAGTCACCAGCCTCACTTCTCCTCTGCCTGGTATTATGATGGCTAATGAAGCAGCACAGCAGCACAGCAGCAGCAGCAGAGCTGCAGGCTCGTATCCATCCAGGAGGAGAGTATGGGGGGATCATGGCCATCTTCAATAACAGCCCCATAACTGGGCTCCCAGGGCATGATAGGAATCTGCCTTACATTATTTTAATGCACAAGTTTGAGTTTCCGTTAAATGATCGTACGTCTTATCAAAAAGTGAGACGTGGAGTCAGCAGCAGATGGTCGTCCAACGCTGAACATGATGGAACAATTAAAATGACAGTGAGGGAGGCCGTGCTGCAAACTGGCTCCTGATTTAATCCAGACCTGATTAATGACACACAGACAGCTCTGCTCGTCCTGATGACGATTGACACATGCTTGGAGGGAAGAGAATGTTGTTGAACTGTAAACACAGGGAACAGATGGGTCCTTGTTTCAGGTTTTATTCTAGACAGCTCACCATTGAAGGGCCCGAAATGAACAACCTTCTTTATTTGCCCTCCATCAATTTTATATCTCTATAAGCACGGCGTCAGTATTACTCATAAACACAAAAGGAGAAGTCCCCACAACAGTAGAAATAAAGGAAAATTCTTTTTAATTCTAAGATTTTTGTCCATGGTGATTTATTTTGTGGGGCCTTTAAAGAGCTGTGGTATCACAGAGAGTGGAGAAACAGCAGAGGTTAACCAGACGCAGGTGGAGAAGGTTAAGTAATTAAAGTGGAGGGGAAGAGGAGAGAAGTAAATGAAGGAGTGGAGAAGAGAACCAGGTTAAAGGTAATGGAAAACGTTAATTAATTAATAGAAAAATTAAACTGAATTATAAGGAACACAATATTAAAGATAAAGACAGTATTGTATCGTAATAAACATTTGTTGCAGTGTAAATATGTCCAAACCGCCGAACTTACTCATGTAAAATAGATTCTGTGTCCTGAAAACATTTAAGGTTTTTCATTACTAGTCAAAAGTTAACGTATTTGTCTGCAAAAGCGGACTATTTAATCTATTTTTTTTTTTTTTTTTTACCTGTTGTGCTTTTTTTCCCGGCAAATTTGATGGTCTACTATTATGGGGTCTTCCCTTCACTTCTCAGACTGCTCCTTGTTTACGGTATTTTAACAGAAATTATCCTCGTTAAATCCAAGTATCGAGTTTTAAGTTAGTTTGCTTACCCCTGGAGTCCAGCGTTGGAACACAACCAGGTACAAAAAGTAATCACTTCCGGAGTTAGCTGTAAAATGTTGCAATTATTTAAACGTAAGGCTATGTACAAACTAAATCATCGATCTTACGGACTGTGACGTGGTCAGTTTATCGACGCAATTATGGCTGTTGTACGGACTGATACTGACAGTCTTGGCTCTTTGACAGTGAAACATCAAACTGGAGAAAACATAAGAGATTTGGACAAGGTTGAAGCACGGGACGCATTCGTTTCTCGTCAGGATATCTGCATGGCTGCTGTAAGTCCCCACAACACATTAAATGAATTGTATGTTTTCACTCGATACAAAACTTTCATGAAGGGAAGTATGTTTCTTCGAGACTTGTTTAAATAACTTTTTGGTTGTTTCCGGCCTTCTGTGGCGTTTGTAAGGATCAACACAAACTGCCTCCTCGTTCATTCTGGTGTGTTTTTTTTTTTAACTGTCTCCTATCAGAAGATGTAGTTGTGAAAGCTGGAGGGGAAAAACATTTTTTCTTTTGATAAAGTGATGTGAAGATGTGCTCAAGATTAAATCTCTGCACTGCAGCAGTTTTCTGGGACAAGTCAGTACTCCCCAATCCCTGGTCCATTTGGTACTGGGCTGCAGAGACAAATATAAATACAGCAATTTCAATTTTCTTTCCTCATTAAAATGAAATCGGGCTTTTATTCAAAACATTACCTCTTTCAGACGCCAGTACTAATAGAATAAAGACAAAAACATTTTTGTTTTTTCTTTATTTTTCCTCCAAGGCATGGCAAGTCAGACTAAAACAGACTAAGCACTTAGACTATGGCTGCAACAACCACTTAATAATACACTCAGACCCACTAAAAGCTAAATTGAGAACAAAAGTCAAGGATGGTTCCTGTGTTACATTAGTTTTTAAACCTGGTCTTAAATTGTTATGTGATCACCACCACTGATGATTATCCATCCATCCATCAATCTAATCTAATCTATGTCATCTTGCCTGCCATTTTGAATGTTAACTGCATCCTCCAGTCGGTGGTTTCTCCATTATCAAGATGTCAAAAATTTGTGGTGTTGTTTTTTTCTGTGGTCTGTGTAGCCTTTTCCTTGTTTGTTTGTTTTTTTAAGGATAATCTTCTTTCCTTCTTTCTCAGAGGCCACAGGTGTAATGACTAAGTTAGTTTGGAGAGTTCAACTCCTCTGACTTCATTATTTTCCCTGACACTTTCCACACTTGAACTCATCATCAGTGACATCTGTAATTCTTGGCAGTTTGACAGTTTATTTTTTTCCTGCGCTAAAGATGCTGTTTCCACTTGTCATGGGTTTATCTGCTCTGTGGGAGTAAAATCTGTCATTGTGACTTCGCAACATAAAGGCTCAAGAAACATCCAATATAAGCTACGTTCAGTAGAAAGAAGTAAAGTTAAAGGCGGAAATTAGAATTGTTATTGATATATCAATTTAATTTTTGTTTTATGTTGATGTAGTGAAGGTTTGGGACTCAGAAAATGAACTGTTCATATCGGACCATTTTCAGTTAATATCTGTTATTAATATGTAAATGTTCATATGTAGTCCAACATCAGCAATGAAACATGGGATTTTTTTTTGTATGATTCAAGGATGTGATATTGTCAGACCACACGTCAAACATGAGATGGTACAAAATTGTGGTTCAAGGATTCAACTGAAGGACTTCTCCAATGACTTTAAGACACAATTCAAAAATAACTGAAAATACTACTTTGTATGAAAACCTCAAATCCATGTCCTAACCCTAAATCAACCCCTGACATAGAATAGAAATGATTTAAACTTCTCTAACTCCTAATGCACGTTTCCTCAGCCAGGACTGAAATAAACTCTGTGCTCAGCACTTTCCTCTACAACGTCTGTCTTCAGCGTGGCCAAGTTGCAGCGTGCGGTTTCTAGGGTTGGGTTGGGGGTCGTGTCTGGTTGGGCTGCCAGTAGAACGGTTGTGGCCT